CATTCGAGCCGCGAGATTTCATACCTACTGAAATTATATGATATTAGAGCCGCGATATTTCAGACAAAAATAGGACTTTTCCAGACTAGACTCACGATAGCTGCTGGACTTATTGCCTGGTCCGTAATTTGCTAGGCATTTCAAGACTGAACATATGCTCCTGCATAGCTTCATCAACTACCAGTATCTATTGGGGGATATTGCTTTTCCGTCAGTATGATCAGTTTCGTGCTCACACGCGAAATGCTTTCTTACCACTACCAGTTGTGTAGGAGATACCTAAGGCTAAGGATTCCGAGGCGGCGCTTTCGTTGTCAGAAAAGCGGGAACTGGGAAGACCAGGAACATGATGTATTGCCTTCTTTTTTGCTACGCTTGCCGGCTTTCATTTCGCCAGTTGTACGTGTCGCCAGGCACTCAAGTGTCGACACTTGAGTGTCGCCAGGCACTGCGACTAGAAATGTTCACTTACTTCACTAGATCGGGATGCATGCCGGAGGCCAGCATAGCCCAAGACCAGCATATCTTTCATCCTCCTTTCCGTGCGTAAGCCTGCTAAAGGGCAGAGTAGACAACCGTCCAACAGCTCTATCCCATGCCGTCTAACCTCCTCACGATTTTCGGTAAGCAACTCCCTACGCCATACCGCTGTTGATACACAGTCAGCACTCCAGCCCGTCCGTTCGTCGCAGCTGTTTTCCCCCGCCATAACTCTACCTCCACGCTTACCCCGTCTCCCCGCCTTTTTTCACTGACTGCCGGACGTCTTTTCTTAGTTTCTGCTCACTTGACTGCATTACGCTATGAAAAGAGGATCTATAGGAGTTGTAAACTAACCTAACCTAACTTAACCTAACCTAATTCGGATAAGCATCAAAGGACTGCGAGAAAAGCCTCCAGTTAGTCATGCGATAATGGTGGAGAGTCGGGGTAAGTGTGGAGGGAAGAAGATGCTGGGGGATAGTAGGGCAGGGAAACAGTGGCGCTAGGTTCACGTCTTGCGGAGTAAGTAAGGCGATGACGCATTACCGTTTGGTACAGCTCACATTTGCGGCAATGCAGTGTGGTCAGCGGATACTTAGGATAACAGCATGTGTAAGAAGTGATGGTATGGGTTATAAAGCATTGGAGAACAACGTATTGACCATTAACTATGTGGAGTAGCAGCTTGTGTGCTGAAGCAGTGTTGGTTTAAAGTTCGTGGGGTGAGATAGGTCAATTGACTACAGCTGCTTAGGTGCCAGGATGACAATATCTATAGCATTTAGATGGTTGATATTGGTTCCAGGGCTGATTTGAGCGTTAATTTGCTGGTCTACGGCTGCGCACCCACTAGATCACCGTCCAGACCAGACGCAACTCCTCGTCAACGATCTTCCGCTTCTACTTTGAATATACGTCCGCCGGTTCCGGAGTACTGGATTTCGAACAGCGTCTCATCGAGCATTGCATATAATATCATAGTGTTGTCAGTGTTGAAGTGAACTTATGAATTTATATTAAACCTAATCGTTTTTTCCATAGTTTAATCGTAGTCAATACTAAGTGAATTTTCGAATGATATAACGGTTCGCGACAGTTGAGAGCTGCTTAACTAGGTTTGGAGGACTGATGGTACCATGGATGGTACTGTAGGTGGCTATAAGCATGGCTGAAGTTGAACTATATAAGGTTGACCCGCGAGAAGTTCCGCCTTTCAGTTCAGCTCTCTTGTTACGTCACCGTGATCGGGAAACGTAACCAAACCCGTCATTCCCATGACGGTTTAGTTGATTGATTTGATCGCATTTCGGTGATTGGTTAATGCCCGTGACGCCACTGATATCATGACGTTACAGACGAACAACGAACTACATCCGCGAAAATGAGCTTCTCATGGGTCAACCTTATACTAGTTCAACCATGGTCTTAAGGTCCTCTCTCTGGAAACAACAGTTGGTGTCGACCAAGACTAACTGTATAAGCAAGATGATAGTCGCATTGTTGAAATTCTTTTCGCGTGAATGCGTCTTTGCTGATAGTAAGTTTTTGCCGTAATGGCAAGTGTCTTGGCAGTTGAGCATTTGAAGACATCGATGGAAATCTTTTGGGCCATCTACGTAGCGTGAAACATAGCTAAGAAAAAAAAAATATAACTCGGTACGCACTGCTTGCGTAAGTCACAGAGAGCGCATTTTCTCGTCGACGAAAAGGTAATGTCACGGACGGAGAGACAGACAGACAGACGGACGGACATTACGAGCACAATAGCTCCTTTTTTTCACAAATGAGAAAATGCGCTAAAAATAGTAAGGACGTCAGCGTACGGTGCAATTTAAGAGGCATGCACTAGGAAATTTGAGGCGAAGTGATTGAAAAATGCAAAGGGAGATGACCCACGGTTGAATCACATTTACTAGTTTAATCATTAGACGACCAACCGTCGAAAAACTTTCGTGTGTCTGATACTTAATGGAAATTGATTTCTGAGGTAGAGGCAAGGTGCCTGTTTGATCCTCCAAGCTTGCAACGTTGCCACCTATCTCGCAACGGAGCTCAAGGTTTAACATTATTAAAGAGGTGGGGGTCTCAATTTCTCAAATCAGAAATCTTTCATCCCCTACAGGGGGCAGAAGGTTTAAAGTGGCAAGAACGCTGAAGCTGAAAAAAGAAAAAGCACTGTTAGCATTTCAAAAAGACGAAGGGGGATTAAGGACAAGGAGGGCTGGGTGTAGAGCAAGAGAAAAAAAGACTCCTAATACAAGAGGTCGCTTCCACGGGACGTCGGCCGCACGCGTGGGAGAGACAGAGAAGGAAAAGATAAGAAATCCTACCCAAATGATAGACCAGTGGAGGGGACGGCTTAGTAAGGGACAATGCCAAGGGAAACGCGAAATCCCATTAACTTCTGATGAGCGCAGACATGCGTCGCAAACAAGTTCCCCTGAGGGATTTTTACCCGAGTAGTAGTAGTAGTAGTAGTAGATTTACTAGCGCTTCAGATAGCTATCTATTTCGCGCCGGAGGTGAGATCTTCAGTTACGTCAAAGATGTTTGGTTTCTTCCGTTACCCGAAAATATCAATGAGCTGCTCATATTAGTCTGTTTCCCTGAAATACTTCGCTTCAAGAAGACGCTTTTAAATTGACCTTTTAGATACAACAGTAGTTACCGCTCTTTATTAAGCATTACTCTACCTTTTTCGTTTACCGAACCGACGCTGAGAAGAGCCAGAAGATGCAAGAGCGTCGTAGAAATTGAGGTACGCTGAAGGAATTTTCAAATTATGTTAAATTTATCACATTATATTCATATATACCTTTCAAAATAACTACAACACTCTAGTTGTATTAGAGTAACTACAACGTACAGAAAAATAAAATATCTTGCCTCTTCTACAGTGTTTATGAAACGAAGCTTCGTCTAAGATTTTCAGATGATTCATTGAAACTTATAATGTTCGAAAAAAATGAAGCCTTAATAATAAAGAAAACCTTTAATTAACGCTCGAAATCGTCTACTTCTACCAGCTAGCTGAAGTACCCCTAGGCGGAGATATAAGCTAATAAATATGTACAGGTACACAATAAGAGTGGGCAAGTTACTCGCAATCAAAACTCCAATGCCACTCAAATTATGAACCAGTAAATAATTAACATTTGTGACTTGATATGTAAACGTCGCTTTAATTGGAAATTAATATTGAGAAATCCGTAATTGAATTTATTGGGAGAAATTCAATGTTGAGATCAAATTCCTAATGATTTCCTGGCTCACCAGCAACCAGAGAAGAAAATAAGTACAAGAACGATAAAGAATATGTGGACATGAGTTGGGGCAGCATATAACAGCTGAAGATTCGCAAAAAAAATGATAGCCAACGAGTTAAGATAGTAATTCACATCCCAAATTCATTCAAACTCACGAGATTAACCGAAACGACATAATATAAACAATAAATTCCAAGGAATCCACGCAAATAAAGCATCCACTCATCTCATGTCTCGATTTATTCCAATCACTGCCATCTGAGTTCTACTCAGATTACGTTGTCGGAAAGTGCTATTTTTGGTGTAATAGGGAAAACGAACGTAAATAAGCTGGGATAATTCAATTGACTGGAAATATCTATGCCGTGTGCCTGGAGTAATCTGTTGTGACCAGCCTGACTAAAGAATATACAAGCAAACTTACACCGTTACAAAGATATACTTGTAAATGAGGACGTCGTAAAATTGGAAAAAAGGTTTACTTAACTAAAGAAATCAAATACATGGCACAATTTAAGTAGAATGCCTCAAGTTATTGCTATTATTATTACGATTATAGCCCTGCTTCGTGAGACCTAAACCACAAATCAGTGTAGATGATGCGAGTGAAGGAATGCCCATCACTAGTTATAACACCGTAACACTTCACACTCAGAAAAATGGATTGGTCATACTGTGTAAATAGTGACACACTTTCTGACCAACAGCACGAGCTGTAGCACTGATACGCCCTTTTACCGGGCAAAATTGGTTCAGGGTAAAGAGCAAAGAGTGCATCGCTATTTGGAGTCGCATTTTTTTTCACAGCCCCAGTGTGGAAAGTTCATAACATCGAGTATAAAGACTAAATTCCAGATGCGACATCAGATCAATATATTAGCGACGTAGAAACATGATGAATTCAACTGACATGAAAAGGTATATTCATTCCTGAATAAAATTAGGCTACTAAGCCTGAAAATCAGGATATAGTTCTGTAATAAATGGCACAAATTCAACTCGCAAACGAGTTGAAAAGTTGAGTAGTTTCAACCGATCAACAGCGTGCACTGCAAGTAACTCTACTACAAACTAAGTTGTTAAGTTGATAAATGTGCCGTGGAGAACACAAAAGGATTCTTAAAATTATCAAGAAATGAGAATAATATTTGTTACCAGGTATTCTAGGACGATAATTGTCAGTGTCTTATTGTAACAACCTGCCCCGCTAATGATACTTATTTGTTACTTGACCCACTAATAATACTAAACGTTTAGTGAACATTGCATATTGCAATAGTCAATAACTGCAATGGACTGAACAGAAAGTTTGAATACGAATTTACACACAAATGAAGCTACTCAAATAACTACAACAATATTGATTGTAGTGAAGGCTTTATTATCTGCGTTTCTCAGTTATTTCATGTTAAAATACAAGAACGCTTCACAAGATGAATAAAAAAAGCTTCTTTAGTTACCCCACACTTCGGGTTAATACATCATATTTCATCAATATGGGATTATAAACAATAATAAGGGTAGTTTTCACGTCCAGTATTGTACTGTAACATTACAAAAATGAGCACAAAAGTAAATATGGGTAGTTCAGTCTTCCAGCGTGACGTTTCTGAAGAGGTAGCTCATGCTCTCGTTGTTGTGGATGCGACGTATGCTCTCGGCAAGCAGGGCGCTGATGTCGACGGTCTTGATCTTGTGACACTGCAGCTTTAGGATCTCGTGAGGCACGGTGTTCGTTACTACAACCTGTTAACAAGTGGACAATTTAGCAGTTATTAACAGATATTCACTTTGTTACTACGAACTGTTAACAAGTAGAGTAAGCAGTTATTAACAGATATTCACTTTGTTACTACAAAATGTTAACAAGTAGACAATTTAGCAGTTATTAACAGATATTCACTTTGTTACTACGAACTGTTAACAAGTAGAGTAAGCAGTTATTAACAGATATTCACTTTGTTACCACAACCTATTACCAAGTAAACAATTTAGCAGTTATTAACAGATATTCACTTTGTTACTACAACCTGATAACAAGTAGACAATTTAGCAGTTATTAACAGATATTCACTTTGTTACCACAACCTATTACCAAGTAAACAATTTGGCAGTTATTAACAAATATTTACTTTGTTACTACAAACTGTTACAAAGTAAACAATTTAGCAGTTATTAACAAATATTCACTTTCTTACTACAACCTGTTAACAAAATAATCAATTCAGACTAGATTACAGTTAATAAACGATTAATTCATTTGTCTATGATAGTAAACCTTAAGGCAATTTAATTCAGAACATAATTTTATAGAATTTTCACACCTTGTGGCACTCTAAAGTAGCTAATTGCCTAAAGTTCTTGGTCATTTAGTCCATGCAAATGTGATTTTCCAGTCATCTTGTTGCTAAGATTTATATAATTTATACTTTTTTAACTTTCTCAATAAATTGAACATGAGCAGTCACTTGTATTTTATGAGGTTGGTTTTAAACGTTCATTCTGTCACAATAAATTAAACATGAATTCAGCAGTGAGAATAAAATTACTTGACCAATGGACATTACTGAGACCGCTATGTGTACTTATGAAGCTTCGTATACTTGGGAAGCTACGTGAACTTGGGAAGCTACGTGTACTTGGGAAGCTACGTGTACTTGGGAAGCTACATGTACTTGGAAGCTACGTGTACTTGGGAAGCTACGTGTACTTGGGAAGCTACGTGTACTTGGGAAGCTACATGTACTTGGAAGCTATTTGTACTTTTTGTACTGGAAGCTATTTGTAGCTATGGGTACATAAGCAAGTTCTCAGTATGTAACTTGCTGTCAAAGTTCTGTTGTAGACAAGTCATGACAATCTCTATGTTCAATAATGATAATAATAATAATTTTGATACTACGGTCTCTAACCTCATCAATGGCCGAGGCCTCAATAAGCCTGGGGGCATCGGAGGACAGGAGGCCGTGCGTGGCCATCACGTAGATCTTGTACGCTCCTCGGGACTTGAGAACCTCGGCCGCCGCCACGAACGATGCTACGTCGTCCACCATGTCGTCCTGGGGGACAGTTGGAGTTAGTGTGCCTTATCATGAAGAATACTATAGCAGCCAGAGACCCGCAAGTTATTATATCAGCCAGTGACACGCAAACTATAACAGCAAGTGAAATATTTTTGGAATATAAGAAGTTCAAGCATACAATTATCCTTTGCAAAATTCACGCCCGTGATGGCAATCATGCCCCCCACTCACCACCATGATGGCAATCCTGCCCCCACTCACCACCATGATGGCAATCCTGCCCCCCACTCACCACCATGATGGCAATCCTGCCCCCCACTCACCACCATGATGGCAATCCTGCCCCCACTCACCACCATGATGGCAATCCTGCCCCCTACTCACCACCATGATGGCAATCCTGCCCCCCACATCCCCCACGACGTTAATGGGGGGTTTCTCCTTAGCAAAGAGGGCGGGCACGCCTCCCCCGACCTCCATGACCCGAGAGTGGTGCTCCAGGGCAGGAGGGCTGTTGCGGCCGTCAGTCTCTTCATCCTCGCTCGTCTTCTGCTCGCCGTGGATCACAGCAATGCCTGGAAAAATATAGAAATATTAATCTATTATCCTGGATGACAGCTATACCTGTAAAAGTGAAGTTGAAATCATTGATCTTTCAACGTGGGTAAGGGTTATACACGTAGATACGATGCTGAAATCATACATACCTGTATCCATGGTTGAACTATTTAAGGTTGACCTACGAGAAGTTCGGTCTTTCAGTTCAGCTTTCTTGTTACGTCACATAGATCGGGAAACGTAAACAAACCTGTCATTCCCATAAGGGAATGGTTGATTGGTTTGATCGCCTGATTGTTTGATTGGTTAATGCCCGTGACGTCACTCAGATCAGTGACGTCACAGGCGAACAACGAACTACATACGCAAATAAAATACTTAAAAAAACTTTTTAAAAAACCACGTTTTTCTTGTGGACTAAAAAGTAGAAAATAAATTATGGCTCGCCCCAAAAAACGTGTGACAATTTACTTGACTTGACGTACGTATCGATGATACGCAGCGTATGCGCCTGCTCGTCTATAACGTCAGCGCCCGCGCGTCATACTATATACTGTATATACTATTTATATATACTTTACTCAATTAAGCTAATTTAGGTCTCTAATTGCTAGTTTTTATGATTGTATCTGAAATTGTTAGGCGAAAATAGCCTGCATGCCGAATTTCAGATCTCTAGAGCAATCAGAAGTGGGCTAATTTTCGTTGTCAAAGTTAACAACAAACAAACAAACAAACAAACAAACAAACAAACGCGAAGCTAAGCTAAGAAAAACGTGTTAAAAACGTTTTAAAATGGGCTTCTCACGGGTCAACCTTATACGGTATTAGTTCAACCATGCCTATGTCATCCTGGATGACGGCTATACCCGAAGAAACAACGTTTAAATCATTCATCTGATATTGTTGATAACTGTTATACCTGCAGAAATCATATTGAAATCATTCATCTATCATCGTGGATAAGGGTTATGCCTGAAAACAATAATTTTAATACATGAGTCCAATACAGATATTTAACAACCCAATGTCAGACAAATACAAAAGTTCAGTAAAAATATGGAACAATAAAGTCCAGTAAAGATACCAGCAAGAACCAAATGTTTGCCAAATACCATGTCAACAATAAACAGAATAGAATCTCACCAAGTCTGAGTCGCTCAGCATAAGACGTGGCCTTCTTAGCAGAGCCAGGGTCCCTGGCGACGATAACGGAATTGCGGTAGTCGGGGATCTGAAACAGGGGCATGAATTTTCAACAATAATTACCTAATTTTTACAGCATTGTTTTCCTGCATTCAAGAACACACAAGATTATTAAATAAAAGAAATAAATATCAAGATAATCCTCTGTTTTTTTTAACAGTAAGCGATGGTGAATTTCAAGCCTTTGCTCATTCATCAACTTGATCTAATAAGTGAGAGTTTAAAATGAGTTTACAGGATCAACAGGCAAAATTTGTAGATGTATGAGAAGATTAATATTTTATTCATGCCTACAAGCACTAGAATCTTAACGTCCTTCAGCCACGAACATAAGAAAAGGAGGAAGAAATAATATAGATACAATATTTGAGTATGCAAATTGTATTCTATCTTGGAATGCAGAAACAGAAATAAACTGAAGAATAGATTAACAATTCTTTTCAATTCGAGGAAAATCCAGTAGAGTGAAAGTTACAGCAAAATGCTATGCTATCAGTTGGAATAAGATTGGCCCTTAAGTGTAGCTTTAGACCGAAGTTAGAAAGAATTTTGTTGTTATGTAATGCATGAACTAGTACCTACATCAATAACTCATCATGCAATAACACTACAGCACAGTTTTCGGACCAATGTTGCACTCGAGGACCAATTTACCCCCCGATGAAGGTACAGAGATTACAAGATGATTGAGAGGGTGGCAAATTATGTACAGGAGCAAGAAATTACAATAATTGTACACAAAAAGTCAATACACATACACTCTCTTGGATGTACTGCAGCAAAAATGGCGAGGCACGTAGATTATCCACAGGACAGTCAAAGAAGCCTTGAATTTCTTTCTGGTGAAGGTCCATTGTGATGACATGAGTCAGGCCGGCTTTGCCTGCAAAGCAAGTATATAATTTATGTATATGAGCACAAGGGTGAAATTTAAGCCATTATTTTGCAAAAAAATGACAATAATGTATCTCTTAACCCTTTAGCGGGCAAGCATTGAAATATCCAGAAATTAAAATTTCAGAAACCATTTCAAGAAAGTAAGAAGTATTATACAATATATTTATTTCTATGAATTTTTGCAAATTTTGCCTATTGAAGGTTTAAATCGCACTTGAAGAATTCAATAAATGCGATCAGTACAAAAAATTTTCTTTATAATTAAAATTCAGTTTATGCAAATGAAAAGTTAGAAACATAAAAATTTAATTTAATTAAATTTAATCAAGTTGCCAAAATAAATAAATATATAGAGTGATACTACTTCCAAATTTTGAAGAAAATGCGGAAAGAGCGTCAATTCCATTGTCCTAGTCAAAACCTTCAATTAAATGCTCATATTTCAATTTGTGGACTTTGCAGCTGGTGATGCTATAGATAGACGATGGTCAGATAATTAGTGATTGACTGAGGCATTATAAGGATGCCTCAAAAACAAGCAGGAAGCCGTGGTGAGGCTTTTTGTGACGCGATTTCAAGTGATCATATATGGTAACTAACCCGTGAAAGGGTTAAGCAAAATTTACACATTTTTTTAAGTTCCAGGCAAACAGTAAAATGAATTTTTTTCTAATTACATCAATCATGTTTTAGGAGAATTGACTTGAATGAGAAAAAATGATGATAATAAGTATATTAAGCATCACCAGTTATTGGATATATACTACATTAAATCAAAAGCTTGAATGAAAACTTACGTATTATTTCTTTTCACATCTTTGTTACGTACCTAAGCAATCATTCTACAATTTTCATTCTTATAATTATAGCAAAAAAAAATCAGCATATAACTGCTCTAATAGTGGTAGAATTTAAAGTAGGTTTAACTAGGACTTGACATATTTATAATATGAAATATCAAAGCTCAGAGTAAGTCGTGAGTCCTGAGCTAATGTGTTACAGTGCACATCACATCAATTTTAACTATCAATCACATTTTTAACAATAAATGCATTACTTACACATCATTTTTGCTAGAAGTTTGGAGACTATGCAACCCCGCTTGCGCATTTTGCTCTGCTTGCAATAAGGCATGTAAGGAATCACACCCACAATGTTACGAGCCGATGACGTCTTGCAAGCATAAGCCATGATTAAAAGCTCCATGATGTGGTTGTTAACATCTCTGAAAAATTGGGAATTGATGATTATATAACTCAAGATTAAAATTTCTAAGAAACTTGATTGTTACTAGCATCCACCTCACATCTTTCTGAAAAATTTTCTTCATTTGATGTAAATATTAATGACAGGAAAAAAAACAGAAAATAGGACATGGAAAATCACAAATAATGATCGGCCATTGCACTATTAAAATCAGAATCAATCTCCAGTATAGGTACTTATTTCTTTATGATTTCAATTTGCTAGTAGAATTAAATCATTCATCAAATACTCATATCAAATGTAGAAATTTATTTGCTTCCAATATCACAACCCACCAAGGAACCTCATAGAAGGTTTATATACAGAAATTATCACACAATATTAGTCATTGATCAATGAACATTGATCTCAAAGCAAAACAGATACTTATCATGACAATGGAAAGCCACAATAAAAATGCCCTCATCTTTACAAAGCACACAAATATTCTTCCAATCCAAAAGGAAAATTTGTTACTGAACCAGATCTATGGTACTGTAAAGGAGGTTTTTTTGAAGGAGTGATTGTTTAAATTTTATGAAAATTCAAAGGTTACCGTAAATACAAGTTAAAACACAAACATTGGAGAATCAGGATTGCACAACACAATTCCATTGGGAGATTACAAACAAGAAACATTTGCAAGAAACCCATTATATGCTTTGTTATTTAAGTTCAAAAACATGGAAGACTTAATCAGAGAGTTTGTCTATTCCTGCATTGTTTGTTTAATCAGGTTGGCTAAGATTTAAATGAATTTAAAGTCATATATTTTTTTTATTGGAGATTTCTAGAAACTTCCAATGAACTCCAGTTGGCAAAATTTTTGAAGTGTTTGAAGTTATTTACCATGTGTTGAGAGAATGGGAAAAAGACATATAAAGATAAGAAGTATAGCAAGCCTGCTTGTCAACTGTTGCAATAATATCAAAATTTTTGCTTGAAAGTAAACAATGTTAAAGTCTCTCTTGTTGAAAAAATGAAGAAGCAAAAGCTTAATCACTTTAAAAAATTTGAACAATAATGGGGTGCTGATAATATTCTATTAATAATTCTGTAACATAAAACATTTAAATTTCAAAGCATAAAAATATTCATTGACCATTATACTAAAAGGCTGAAATATTTGAGTAGTGAGAACACTATTGAACTAACTTGGGCAATAGCCATCATCATGCCAATAATAGTGGCAATGCAGAGAAATATGTTAGACTCTTCATTATTTGAGAACTATGAGTAGACTAGTCAAGTATCACTGATACCAGCATTATCATACATAGATATTTAATAAAATTTTGTACTAGATCAAGTGCTTAAAAATTAACTATATTCTGAAAAAATCTGTTGGTTGCCACTATGTAAGTCACTCTGACTCACTATGATAGACAAGGCAAGTGTAACAACAGTATATGGTGACTAACATGTCACACACTGATCTTGCAGCAAACACTTTCATGTTGATTTAATGAATCATGGAGACAATAATATATGAGGCATAACTCACTTATTAATGCCAGTCTGTATGATGTAGACGCTCTTCTCTCGCACACTCTCCATAATTTCAGCCTTAGTCTCCAGACAGCTCGTCTGGGCAAGCTCAGCACGTCCCACACGCACCTCCAATTTGCTGAACACAACAACAAAAAAAAACTTCAGAAGCACTTCTTGCAAAATAAAAATTTGTGGCATAGAAGTGTAGCAGGAAAGATGGACACTTTGCTGAGTTAATTAGAAAATAATTTGATTATGGATAAAAGCCATCTCTTATAAAGCCAGCTGCCTTGAAAAACTTGGTCATGCATTGCTAGGAACCAATCATCATAATTTGTTAACATATTTGACTACTTAAAGCACATATCTGTACCATAGTACCTATGTATTTTTCATAGATGTAGGTATAGGTGCTTATACACAGGGCTATTAGTTGCGTATATTGGTTGCGTCTACTAGGCCAGGCTACTAAAATTTGTGATGCTCGACATGTTCAGAGGCAACTAGCTGGTTCATTGCAGGCAGAGCACCTCGAGTTGTTTTGAAGCAGTCTATTGCGCTCAGTAGCCGCCCGGCCATCATACCGAGCGCAGTTGCATCGCTCTCTCTCTTGCCCACTGTAGCACGCACTGCTGTCGTGCTCTCGCATGACTCTACACTGTGCACACCCTTACTCAACAGCTCCCAACATCGCACTGACGCGGGCGCAGTGTACCGAAAACACTATACTCGTGTATAAGCTCGCAACCTGCAAAACTGTAGTAGACGCAACCAATATACACAACCAATAGCCCAGTGTATAAGCACCTTATGGATTAGTACACTTTTGTAACAAAATTAACACTCAGTGTTCAGACAAGAGGTCCAAAAGCAGTGAGGTATATATGAGTAAGCTAGCATAGTCAATACATTAGCGAAATTTGGTGAACATCATGGCAAACTGCATGTCACTGAAGCAGCAAGGCAAGGAAAACAATATGAGTACATACATAAATTCCTCATTAAGGACAGCAAAGATCTGTATTCAGGAAGCAAATTGAATGATGAAAAACCAGAAAAATATTCTTGATTCATCCTGTACAGAAGTTTAGTTTTCAAACACACATAATTTTAAATACCTAACATTCAGTGATGAGCAAATACACTCCATTAGTTACAAAATAGACTAAGAAAAATATACCTATCTAGCTGCAATTCAGAAATCTGTACAAAAATCCTGCTATGGTTAGAACTTCAACAAAATTTTAGAAATCTTAAAATAAGAAACACCACATACACATAAAAAATATTTTAAAAATTATAACACACACTACAATTCAATCATAAAATTGAATACACTATGTTGTTTACCTAGTTTGTTGTTAGCTACTATTAAAATTACTAGCCATTTCATTGTTGGAAGAAAATGAGCAGAAAAGAGAGGTGTTTCATAATGCAGTTGGCAGGATACCGTGTCAGCCTGTGGCTTACTTAGTGCCAGTTTGTAGGATGAAGACATCACGGCCTCGAACAGAGTCACCTATTTCCACCAAAGTTTCTGTATTTGGACGGGTGCTCACTGATAACTTGCCTAAAGGGCGTGCCAAACGACTGAAGGAACACACTATATTATACATTACAAAATAGCTGGTAGTTGTATATCAGTACTCAAAAAGAACATGTTGTAGCTGCCTAAGTTTCAATGTGGTACTGTTATAAATGTGGTGCAAAAAAATCTCCATCCTCAAGTATTAACACAAGGCATATAAAACATGATATGTTTGCTACAGGTATACTGGTAACAACAGTCATCTAACTGTGGCAAAGTGGGATCATAAAACTGTATGGCAGTTTATCCCTTTGCTTAATTTAGAATAAATTTTACATTTTCAAGTGCACTGGTTTAGAGTAGGTAGAAGTTTTATGGTCAAAATATAGTACAGTAACTCCAGAACAAGCTGTTGGATATTAAAAATTAAAAAGGATTTATCTTGAATAAAAGGTGTCCAGCTCATGTAGAGAAAATGTTTCTAGAAACATTCAAAACATGGATTCAGAAAATAGGTACCTTTGATGAGTACCGGTATCTGGAAGTCTTGACAAATCTGATACTACTATGGTACTCAGGGTTAAGCAAGAATAAAGATCTAGTCTGCCACTATAAAGTTAAAATTCATAATCCACAATGGTAAAAATAAAGCTTTTTTCAGTATAGTATGACTTTTGTACAGGCACTGGTATGACCAACAGAATTTTTGAACGAAAATATAAAAAACTTAAATTCAAATACACTGAAGAAGAATCAGCTCCTTACATAATTAGTTTCTTACAATAGTTTGAGCATTCATATCTTATTTTCTATCCATGATTTGACAGTTAATTTTTAATTATCAATAGCAAACATACAACATACAATTATCAATAGATACAATATCAATAGATCAATACAATACAATTATCAATAGATCAACATACAATTATCAATAGCAAAAATACAAGAAAATAACAGCCATAATAAGCGCTTCCCAGACTTCTCAGCAAAGACTTCAATCTGAATTTTATATAATTATGAAATTACACAAAATCATGAACAAGACTGAAATTTATTTTCTTACAAAGCAATCCATTTTGTAAGTAAATAATCTAAAATACCCATGTCCAGTTAAGTACAGATCTTAAACTAGGATGAACGTGATGGTCAGATGGATTATTGTGAATAAATAGACAAATGAATGCTATTTTTTCATGCATAGAGCTTGATGGAATAAGTAAATAGATGATAACACTTATAAAAACAAATAGTGAATTTCTGAAGAAATAGTCACCAGTTCAAAGTTCTCAATATAATAAACTCAAGTCCATCAAATTATTTCTAATAAGAAACTAAAAAAGTTCTTCAAATTTAATACTATAATTACTAGTTACAAAGTAATGTATGCATCATTTATCATAACATATATATGATAAAAAAAATAAAACTGGTCATCCATTCTATAAGAAAAAATTTGAAAAAAAATTTGAGTTGCAGAGCTCTAAGAGCTTATTTCTAGCTGTAGCCTACTTATTTTAGTTTCATACCAAACTGGAAAATTGGACAGAAACAACCAGAGAAGGAGACAAAAATACCCATGAATATGTTAAAATATCCAGTTCCTTTAACAATTTTGTCAGGATAAAACAAGAAAAATGGCAATAATTATAATGCTGGAAATTATTAAAAATTGCCTATGAAATGATCATTTTTACACATGACTTTAGGAAAATTTTATCTGATATTCAAACTGGGATTTCATTCAGATACCAAGTTCCATATCATTAGAAAAATATTCTATAATCTATACTGTCTATGATCAAAGTCAACTAAGAAGTATTAAGTAAGGTATACAAGTTTAATAATTTAGATTAACAATAGTTTATAGTCAAATTGCAGAGCTAGTCTCAACTAAATATTGGTAATAAATACTGTTACACATTGGGAAAAATACTTCAATACACAAAAAAAACTTTTAATTAATTTATTATCACAATAACATAATTTATTTACTAATTACTGTTCATCAAATTTAAAAATACAACTCACTTGGCAATTAGTTCAGCTAACTCAGGATGTGAGTTCCCTGAGAGAAGAACCATTTCCTTGCTGCCACGTCCAGTGTCCATCTCTAATTTGTTTTATAAAAATAGAAACAAAAGAAATGAAAAACTCAAGTACAACTGTACAAGTACAATAAATGAGCTACACTGCTGCTACAGTGAATCTGAAACTGAAATTGATTAATTGATACCTATTTGATAATCCTTGACCTTGAGCTGGAGGTTGAGATAGGGCAATAAATATTAATTAGAACAAATAAATATAAATATGTATAGAAGTGCATAAGAAAAGTTGTAAACATTCTATTCTAGTCAATAAATTAAAATAGAAAAATCTTGCTTTGGATTTCAATCATTTCATTATGCAGAAAATAGAAATAATAAGATTAAAGATATTGAACAATGAGCAATTCAGAGCAAAGAATGAGATGATGAAAATATGAATAAGCAGAATAGCCATTTTAAAGTGACATGTACCACTGTAATGACTAATGACTGTTTTAGTGTAGGTATAGTACTGTACACTGTAGAGTGTAGATGATGTATAGGCTAGTGTATTGTATTGCACTCTGCAGTAGCAATCATACAGTAGTACACTAGTACTTGAATTGAATTGATTCTTGAACTTGACTTGAATGAGTAAGTCTGTAAGTGGGCTCTCTGCTACCAAATGACAATTCAGAATTCAGATCCACCATCAGGCATCAGCCTATTATAGTATTAAGCATTTAAGCCTAACACTAACAAGTAACAACCCTAACAAATCACTATCTCTCATTCTCCATAGTCCTTACATAGCAGCAGCGCTTCGAAATCGCAATTAATGGGCTTTGGCATCCATTTATTGAAAATTTGATATCGTCTATACTCAAAAAGTTGTTTCTCTACAACTAGCGTCATAGTACCCATTGCATTACCCAAGTTGGCCAAGTACCTACAATCAACACCAACAGACAGAGCGATGAAGACTGACCACGCAGAACGAAGTTACGAACGACCACTTTATAAAGGCCTACGTAAACAAACATAACTACCTAAGTAACCTAACCGGCGGATAAGCGGGCACTTTGACGGATTTTCCTTTATCACAGAAGTTCACATTATGGAGGAATGTTTGGAGCATGGTTGAACTTGTATATAGTTCAACCATGGTTTGGAGAAAGAAGATCGAATAGATTGTTTCGATTTCTCATATCGTTTCTAATTTCACATATTCTAATTCATCTGAATAAATTTCATAGCCAAAAAATAACCAGTTGTTCAAGAGTTTGAAGTTTAATATGGAAATAGTTACTATGACTAACAAAATAAGTATAAACCGGCTGTTTGGAGATCGTTTTTGCGGATGGAATTTATGCTATCTTACCATCAAACATTGTTTTTCCCCTTAAAATTGAAAATAACAAAGGAATCTTCCTTTGCAAAATTCTATCAATGCAGAGCGTAACTTTTTTTTCTCCTAAAAACGCCCGATTAATAAATTTGGCAAATAAATTTCCAGGACTGGGATCACAGCAAGCCGATATTACCTGACCGTAAAATCATCTGCGCCTGCACCAGCATCGTCATGCGGTGCACCAAGCCTGCACCAGCATCGTCATGCGGTGCACCAAGCCTGCACCAGCATCGTCATGCGGTGCACCAAGCCTGCACCAGCATCATCATGCGGTGCGCCAAGCCTGCACCAGCATCATCATGCGGTGCACCAAGCCTGCACCAGCATCATCATGCGGTGCACCAAGCCTGCACCAGCATCATCATGCGGTGCGCCAAGCCTGCACCAGCATCATCATGCGGTGCACCAAGCCTGCACCAGCATCATCATGCGGTTCGGCAATAGCTGAAGCCTTTATCATTACGACTTTATCTGTCAACTTCCAATCTACTGGGTTTGTGAAATTAATTTCAAAGTGATTTTCGAATTTTTATTTTTGAGTAGTTCTTAATTTATGTAATTCGTGTACTTGGTGATCGCATTTATAAAAATCGAATAATCAATTTTTTGTAATGAATAGTGCATGAATGTTTTTATTGAACAATGAACGTTTTTTGCCTTCAAAACGCAGTATTTATGTTAAAATGTCTATCAGAACCATAGGTTTCAATTTAGCAACGCCAGCGATAAATAATATTCGACTCATTGAATAATAGAAAATGAATTTTTTTATTAAAATACACCAATTGTGATTGTTTACATAAACAATTTTTCTGCAATATATTAAACGGAATTTCGATGATGACACTCATTATTTTTTATAAATACCAGCCAACTGACTGCCGTTTGTCAGCCGCCTAAAAGCCGTCCGCTGTTTTTAAAAAATTTTAGACATGGCTAAATAGTGGTTTGATGGAAACAGTAGGCCTATCGGGGGCAGCGAAATTATTTGTCGTCGTACGATGAAAATTCTCAGTTAGAATCACGTTGTAAAACCTTCCACAGAGGATTGTGTTTGCTCGACCAATCATAATTTAAGTGCATTATTCGATACGATTGTTCTACCATTTGTTGTGTCGTCAGAACATCATTACCTCAGTCGGTGTCACTTTAGCCCCCAATCTCTTAGTATTTTAGCCCCCTTTTGCAAATGTCATAAGATCCTATTTATAAGATCCTAATTATATAATAGAATAGAATTGTCAGCACTGAAGAAATAGGCCCATGTGGCCTGTTGCCGATTCATGTACTTTTCGTGACTTGATTCCACAATGGATCCGGCATTCTGAACACGATCTTTCCATAACTGACGAATGTTTGAGATAGCTGCTGGACTTATTGACTGGTCCATAAGGTACTAGGCATTTTAAGACTGTAGTAGTCTATACCGCCTATGTCGGTATAGACAACTTAAATAAATTTTCGGACTCGTACTGTCAGTTATATGGCCAATATTTTCTCGCAATACATCCTAGCTGCAATGCCCTTAATTAATTTTTTATTCTGCATTGTTTTATTATGGATTCTAAAGTACCATATATACTCATCAACAAATTACTTTAAAGCTCCACTTTTCCACAGGCTTAAGTCGCAAGCGTCCCTTCATAATCCGGCGGCAAAAGTCATCTAGAAGAGAATTTAGGAGATTTCTGCGAGGCGAAGTCCAAGTTTTCTGCTGAATATTCAAAGGGAAGCTGTCATTACCGCGTTCAATTCCGCTGATCAGACTATCAATGGGCCCTGGCAACGAGACCCGAGCTCAGAACACCTGATCAGCGAGGCCCTCCAGGCCCATAACTCAGGCCTTATAGATGCCACACTCAGAGAAATGAGTATAACTTTGTACAAATGGCGATGTGCACTCTAGTCACAAATAACTTTGCCCCAGATAGAGGCCTCTTACTCATGCACTCAGAGAATTGAGTGAAACTTTGTCCAAATGGTGATGCTACCTCAAGTCCCGTAACTCAGGCCCTGATTGACGCCTTTAGCTCAACTAAGAGAAATGAGTGAAACTTTTTCCGAATAACGATGCACCTTTCTCTTTAGTGTGGGTCTTCCTTAAGGTCCCGTTTTGGTCCGAAGAAAGAGCGTTCCAGTGCTAACCTCTGCTCTCTTTTCGTGCCGTGGGCAAGAAAGTGGGTAAATATTGAGACAATATGACACATTCTTTTTCTAAGTGCTGGTTCCTTCGATGGAAAATCGATGACAGAAATATACACTCATAAAAATGAATGAGACTCTGTCAAATAGCTAACTACTTTCTGCTCTTGTTGTTTAGATCATCCTGATACCGTTTGGTCCTGTAAGAGAGTTTGTCAGTGCTACGTGGACAACATGATGCATTTATTTTCCTTAGTGTTGGGATCGATTAGAAGTGTCACAAGTATCAGGGCCTTTATTTTGCCTGGGTTTATTTTTGCACAGCTAGTATGACCTTGCTGATCTGATGAAATTTTTTTGGTTGATAATTCTTTTATTTTCAGATGCTGATGAAAACTGTAAATAAGTTCAGTTCATTTTTATTTTAAGTGTCATTATTTTTATCTTAGGAGCCACTAATGTTCTTTAACCGATATTCAGTTTGTGAGTCACTAATGCTCTATACCCGAGTGATCGGCGGCAACAAATGCAAATCCTTCGAAAATCCTATAAACCGTTATTTATTTATTTCTGTGATAAACGATTATTTGTCTTTGTTTAGTCTATTTCGAACATAGGTTAAATGAAAGGTTTCGACGGTATTTCGTGTTCGAGAACTTAAAGTTCTTTACCTAAGTTATTACTATGAATGTCTATTTCGTTAACGTGGTCCTGAATCATAGTCTTAATTTAATAAATGTAAGTCATATTGACTTTAATATAGGTCATATTTAGTCATATAAAGTCATTATAAATGTAAGTCATATTAAATTATAAGTTCATATGTTAATGGCAATAAAATTAATTCTATTTTATAACGATGAATTAATTTTGGTTTGAGATTTCAGATGAAATTATTTCGCTGTATAAAAGCAGATGATAAGTAGGTGATGATATGGGGGTGATGATATGAAGGTGATGAAATGGAGGTGATGATAAGGAGGTGATGATATGGAGGTGATGATATGGAGGTGATGATATGGAGGTGATGATATGGAGGTGATGATATGGAGGTGATGATAAGTAGGTGATGATAAGTAGATGATGATATGGAGGGAATGATAAGGAGGTGATGATATGGGGGTGATGAAATATAGTAATTGTGCCAATTATTATTAAACCTCCGATGTCACTTGTCGTCGGCTGTTTCTGATGGAAATGTTTCTAAACATCAATGTTATAAGTTGCAGAAATGAGTACACTGTAATTTTATTAAACTAACCATTAACAAAGATATTTTAACTGTCTTCCCAATTTTCGCGTTAATTATTAGTGTATTATTAAATCATTATCTTGATTTTCATTTAGTATTTCAAAAGTTCGTTGAGATTCTTCGACATAGAATGTATCAACAGTTTTGCATCAGTCATCAACAGTAGCTCTATAATTCAACCAATTCACATCGCTCGGCTGCATTCTAACTTTTATATGTGACATGTAAAACATTTGGCCTAAATTTGAGGAGATTAACGGAAAACTGTAAGCATGAGTCATCCGTTTTTTTGAGTGTTTTCAGAAAAATGAGTGGGCTATATTGTCCAAATAATGACACACTTACCTACTTTCAGCCTCAGCATAGAACGTATGTAGCACTGATACGCCCTTTTGTCAATACAAACCGGGTGAGAATAACC